CTTAGCTGGAAAACCCTCAGGACTGAGTGTATGTACTGCGAAGAGTGGCAGACTTGGATACATCTGGCTATAGCTGCAGAAAGGGGCTGCTCCTGGAGACAGGCCCTCACAATTGAAGGGAGCTAGTAGGGAAGATGGTGCTGAACAAATCTAGGACTTTGCAACCTTTCAAAGGAGAAACACCTTTCATTGGTTAGCAGGCAAAGTCCAGCATGTTTTGGCAACACTGAGAAGTGGGTAATATTTCTATGTACAATACAATGTCAATAGTAAAGGTAATAACAAATAATTTTTGACAGAACCATCCAAAGCTATTGTACTGTCTGTGACTTTACTTTGATGACTATATTTCCTAGAAATATGCCTGAGCAGGAGATGCAGTTACTCTTATAAGCCGTTGATGTTTACTTTGTATTTTACACACTTCAAGGATTTGTAAGGTTAAGAACAGCTTACAGTTTTACCTGATGCAAACACATGTGGAAATACAATATCATCTTCTGTATCCACTTGAACTCTGTGTAAGCAAAAAGATTAGTAAGTGGTTTTTCAGGGTTTTGACACATAACTCATTGCTGCAAAAATTGGTTTAACCTCCTCCATTAGTGAAGTTTCGTGAGTAGTTGAGAAATGTCAGTCCATCTTTCCTTAGCTAAAGTCAGTTTATGAGAATTGTCATTGGTATGGCTTAATCATTATGTACTATCTTGGTATTTCAAAATACTCTGCACACATACTACTCTTAAATGTTTATAGGCAATAAAAAGATGAGGAATCACTGCACCAGTCACTGGGCTGCAAATGTCTTAAATCTCAAATCATGCAGATGTTGCCATTGTAGATTCAGACAAAATGATTATTCTTTGCCACACATTCATATGTTTAGGTTTTAATTGTAATGTTTGATGACTTGGAATCTAATAACAACAACAAAAAAAAGAAAATTCTGACAACCCTAAAGATAATTAATTGACTACTGAGAAGCATATACCAGCTTTATGCAAGTCTAGTCAGCCAAGACTTGAACACAGTTAATTAACAGTGCAGTGTCTTTTATAGTCTTCAAGCTTGAATAAATGATTAGGACAAAAGCTAATCTGCAATTTCAGTTCTGCAAGGGGCTGGTTTTCTTATAGCTCTAGCAAGGCTTTAGGTTTGGATTTAAAGAAAAGAAAAAGATGATGTAATTGAATCTGAATAGAAAATCCAAAACTTGATTGTGTCTTTTCTGGTTCAGAGCCTAAGAAACCTGAAATCCCCAGTCCTGTCCCTAATTGCTCGGCTCCTGGGGGCCTCTACGCTCCTGTTTCACCAGAACCCCAGCATTTCCAGGAATAAGCAAGTAATTTCTCAGATCCTGCTTATAACCAGGTAGAGTGTAGCAACTGAACAGATTATCACTGTCATCTCATAGGAGGCCTAGAAAGTAGACATGGTCTGAGCAATTCTCATGCATATTAAGAGGGTTAGTATTATTTTTACTAAAATGCCATTGCAGCTTTTTTTATTTTTAAAATACTACTCAAATTTTATATAAAATCCTTGTGATTAGAGTATGTAAAAAGTGGTGTGCTGGAATCAAATTCCTGCATCTCCCACAATTCATTAATGGATTTATGCCACCCTGAAGTGAAAAATGGGAGCTTTGTAGATCTGGAAAGAGAGTGTGCAACGTTGTGTACTGACTGGGATGCCTATTTAGAGAGGAAAACTCTTAAGACTCTGCTTCCTGTACCAAGCACTGGCTCTGTGTTTTGTGTTTAACAACCTGTGAATGACAAATAACTTGGCTGTGTAAACATCAAATGGTGTTCTCCTTCCTGGCTGAGTGAGTTTAATTCAATAGCTAATAACAAGTAAATAACCTGTGGGCACTGGCATGGACCCAAAGGCTATCTCTGAACTCTGGTCCTGGAACTGTACCCCAGAAGAAGGCAGAAGGAGAGGAGACTGTGGGAGATGCCTCCTGTGAAGTAGGACCAATGCCAATATTCCTAACTGAGAAAAATAAGGCAATAAAAAGATGAGGAATCTCTGCACTAAATACTGGACTACCAAATGCAAGACAAAACCAGGCAGTGATAGCATCAATTTGGTGTTTGTTTTTCAAAGAAAGTGTTTGTTTTTGTTTTAAATAAATGATGCTTACTTAAGTCTCTTCAGTCGCTAGATCATGGTAGAGCCTGTCTGTAGCCCTGTGCAAGGAACTTGCTCTTTTGAATGTGGGGGGGATTTGAAAAAGACTGCAGCCTGCAGAGTGCTCTTGGTGAGCTTCAGGAAGGAACAAAAGATTGAGGTTTCATCTCTGAGACACTCCATTAGATCCATTCTGGGATTTCATAACCCATTTGAAGACCATATATCTGGGACCATGGTGTTTAACTTGTATATGATCAAGTCCTGTGTCATATCTAATCTTTAGGTACGTAGTTAGCTAGGAATACATGTGTTTATATACTTTCTGAGCTGGGGACAGAGCACCTTGGTACTATCCCTTTCTATGTGCCCTTTATGTATTTTTATAAATACTCATGTTTGTATGGTTGTATGTGGACACACACAAATGCATACATACATATATGTGTGTGTGTGTGAAAAACCCTACTCTGCTGAAATTTATGGCCACCTTCCCTTCAACTTCAATAGAAGGGTGGTCTGAATGTATGTACACTTTACTGCACCTTTTTGCATGATTTACAAACTGTGAGCAACATATATTATACAGGTTTTTCATTTACTACATTATTTTTTCTATTTTAGGGAAAGTAATACTTTCTTCTAGGATGAAATAACTTATTTGTTAAAGAGTAATAGTGGAAATTAGACTAAATGTTCCAGTAACAGCCTTACAGATTCAGTCAGAAATTAATCCAATGTGTATTAGTTCAACAAGAACCTGAAATATAAATCTGACAAAGACAAATAGTTTATATTGTATGCTTTTATATGAGATTTAAACTCTCTTCACAAAAAACAACAATTTAAATAAATGCTCTCTGTCTTGGAAAATAGATGGCCAGTGAAATACCTTGGGTTTCCTGAGATTTTATGGCTGGATTGATGCGGGATTTTTTAGATGTGGTTAACCTAAAATTTGTATATGTTGAGGAAGCATTGGGAATCAGCTCTCAATTCTACCATCTTCTAATTTCTTTGGGTTTTTTTGTTGTTTTTCTTTTTAATAATTTTAGGCAAATTTTCCTATGCCACTCTGCATCTCTAAGATAAGAACAGGAAATTCCTTCCTTTTGAAAAAAAAAACAAACATTTTGAGACATCTAAGTAAAAAGTGCTTTGTAAGAGCTTTGCATTATTATTGTAATTTGAGAGATAATGAATGGCATCCTACAAAACAAGTTAGAAGGTGTTACATGGAATGCTAAATGTTTTCTGATTCCTTGACTTTGAATTGCTGTTCAGTTTCTAAGCCTAGACTGATGTTTTGTTTGAAACTTCTTTTGAAATAATTTTCACCTGTTTAAACAATTTTGACTTTGCTGCAAACATGGCACAATAGTTGCATTATAGTGAGTTAGACTGCTTGTCAAATGCAAAACCTAGATTTTCATCTCCTTACATCTTTCTGCTAATGCCGTTCAACTGTCCATCAGTTGGAAGATTTCCTGTCACACAAATGGCAGTTGACAAGTTTGCCTATAGTTCTGTTCCTACAAATTTCCGAGTTTAGGAAATCAGGTTTAGTTTCAGGCACTCTTTTAAGAGAATAAGTTATTTCATGAAAAAAAGAAAAGCAAATCTTTTATTTTGCAGAGTTTTTGTTTTCATTGCTTGTATAGCAGTTCACAAATTCTCTGAATACTTGACACGGTGTTGACTGAAACACACCTGAGCTATAACATCACATACCCTTGTGAACATCAGCAAGAGCATATTTTCCTATAAACACATGAAAAACATTTGGAAATGTGCTACACTTAGGTGCTACTACTCCAGATTTTGTGTGCTTACTCCACCACCTCCATAATGCACCTAGCTGCAGAAATACTTCCTTTGCTCCTTTCCCATGAGGCTGGCCTGATTACAGTCAATAAATCTATGTGTATGCAGTTCTTGTTGTACTATTTAGACCAAAATGAAAACCTTCTACAATCCTCAGACGAACTGCACTGTAAGATAAATTTTCATGTGTTCTTAATCATTTTATAATTCTGAAGGGTAACACTCCAATAATATGCTTTTTGCCTGTTTTCAAATGGTAGCTACATCTTAACCTAATTTAGTTTAAAACATTTGGTAAGTGGATGAAAGGCAATCTGAATTCTTAGACTTCAGTGGAGAAAAACAAAAGGTCATGACATAATTTTTCATTAAGACATTTGCAATTAAACTTTGTGCACATGGATTTAATTGTGTAATAAACAAGCTTTACTCATATTAAGGATGAACTTTCCTCAAAAAACCCCCCACGAGTCTCAATCTCTGCAAAAAGCATTGTTATGTTTTAAAAGAGAAAAAATGCAAAATACTCAAAGGATTTATATCTGCTGTTAAAAGAAACAATAAAATTATTCATAATCACGGTTTTGTACATTAAAGTGTCCATCAAAAGCAAAGAAGAATGTTTAAGCCTGTGGTAGTCAGACTGGCAAGTTTATCTGCTGTTACTGCACTGGATTCATAATATGTAACATGGTATTTTGATTATGCTTTTTTTTTCATCCAGAGATGACTAAAACCTTCTTTTCTGGGACTTAAGGGGAAGATGGAGAGAGATTTAACATCTGCAAATAGATCTGTAGTATCTAGTCAAAAAAGAGAGGAAATACATCAAAAAGCTTAAATTTTTATTTAAAAAAGAACACTGATGGACCCCATAATAGAAATAGAAGTTTCCATTTTGATTATGTTTCAAGTAGCACTGCTATCACTTTTTTTCTGCAAACTTTTTTTATAATACAGCAAAAATATTCTCTTTGAAAGCAGTGTGAAATTCAACAGGAACTTAACTCTTTTAGTCTCTTGTTATTTGTTGCTTCTAGGGGTAAGAAGATGGGACATGACATTGATTTTTTGATCACCAATCCAGGACCAAGAGAAGATGATGAACTTCTGCATAAAGTTGTTGACTTATGGAAAAAGCAGGTATGAACTAAAGAATATTTGACCATAGAGAGACGTTTTAAACTCCACTGAATTAAGCCTACACACTGCTTAAAGAATGTTATAGTCCTTTTTACAGCTGACTGCAATGTTTTGAAATTAGTTATTGTTCTATTAATCATGGTGATCTAGGTGCATCCTCCAGCTCTGTATGCTAGAGTTGAAGGTTATGTCAGAAGAGCCCTACACACATTTTACTATATCTTACCCTAAGAATAAGCAATTAGTCAGAGGTGAGAAGTCAAGCTAGGTAGAATTTTGAGTGACATAGAAAAACTGTTCTTATACTTTTAAACAAAACTGTATTTGTTTAATTTCTCCTTGTGATGGGAGCAGGCTCTCCCAAGAGAAGCTACTTCGGGGAGATCCAGCTTTAAGTGTAATGGATTTGTGTGACCTAGTGGTGTGAAGTGAGTAAGTCTGAAAGCTTGGGTACCAAGCCCTGGAATTCTGGCTTCCTTTCAAACCATAAATTAGCAATTTTCCTGGCCTCCATGGAAATATTGGAAAATTGACATAGTTTCCCTTGATGTCTGTGTTTGGAAGAGTGCACATATCTTCAAGGTCCCTTCCAACCCAAACGATTTTGTGATTCTATGATTTCATAGAGGAATTGTTCATCTAAGGCTGTGGGACTTTTTTGTTTTGTTGTTGTTGGTTGGTTAGTTGATTGTTGTTGGTTTTATTTATTTATTTTTTCTATTCAGCTTTCTTCAGTTTCAAGCAACTTTAAAGTTGGAAGTGTCTGAATTATAATAGGTGAAGGTAGCTAAAAATATTCCCAGGTCAGAAAAATATATTATGTTGGGAATAATAAATTTTTGTTTTTTCTTCTACCTTTCTAGCCAGCTAAGATATTGTTCAACATTAGCTGCTGGTCCTTTTCAAAGGAATGGAGTACACTGCAACAAGTAAAAGGCCACCACTTTGAGGTGAATCATCAAATGCCTCACTGTTAAGTCAAGTCAGTTTTCAGTGCAGATAGCCTGGAGAGAATTCTTTTGAATTGATTTTGAGCTGTGTACTTTAATTAATGTATAATAGGTTAACACATGAAAGACATTAAAAACATCTGACTAGACAAAAGCTTATCTGACTTTATAAAGTTTTCTGTTTCAAGGTGGTCAAAATCTTTCAGCTGGCTTTAATGGAAGGGCTTCAAACTTGTTTTTCCTAATAAAATACATTATCTGAATTCCTATTCCTTCAGTTGATTTTTGGTCTTTGAAATGTTAACAGACTATTATTGATTTTTTATATTTCTCTCATTTCTATCCTAAGTCTGTATGGAAAGTGTTTGTGTTGGAGTAGATTGCTAGCAGGTACAGTGTAGAGTACTCCAAATAAAAACAAAGAAGCTACAGCAATTAACGAGTGCTGAGGTGATACTCTATTTTTATCATTTTTGTATTTATGTACAAGTTCTTTTGCAGTCATTCTACTCTCTTTACTCTGAGAAAAGTTGCCTTTCTTCTTGGAAGGGGTCTTTTTACCTTCTTAAGCACACTTGAATCTCTAGGAAACCATATGTGCATCCTTCGGAAATCATGTTTATTATAATACAGCAGACAGGAACGTGATGACAGACCAAGGCCTGCCCTGAGTGTAGTCTTTCATACTTTCTTCTCCACCTACATTACTGAGAAAAATGGCTGATCTGAGAAGTCTGACCACTGAGCTGCTTTCATTAAATGGAATTGAAAGGAAAAAAATAGAAAATGAATCGTTCTTTCTGATTTTCTTGTTAAGGATACAATTTGGCAGAAGGGAGGGCAGGCAGATTATGGGATGTCAAGGGTGGCCAAGAGTTTGTTAAAAATATGAGGATTCCTCTAGAAATCCCAGGATGAAGAACATGTCAGAAGCAGAGATGCACAATGGCCATAGAAACAAAACCCAAACAAGCTGGGAGTAGTTTAAAGCTGTGGACAAATACTTCCTGTGTTCTGTTTGTCCTCCAGACTTTTTATGGTTTATACTGCTAGCTCTACTGCCTCTGCACTGTGGCACTTGTAATATACAGGCTTTTACTGCCTCTACTAAAAAATAACCTTCCAGCAAAATCAAAATGCAAAAAAAGAAAAGGGAATTATACACCTCTTGCCTTTTTTATTACCTTTGATTTCTAAGGGGGAGAGGAAGACACAAAAAAACCCCAAAACTAAAGTACTTTTATACTTTTTGCAGTTGTCTGCTTTACAGCTTTCTACTTTTGTACTACTGCTTCAAAGCCCAAATTCATCAAAGTACATCACCGAGGTCACGATGTTGACTTGCTTTTGGCAGCTCTTAGTGAAGGATTCCACAATGTTTAACTTCTAAATTATGGACCTCAACCTATTTAAATAGTTTAAAGGGCCTTTTTCTTAGCTGAAAAATTTAATGTAACAGGATCCTTCCATTGAAAGCTGCTGAAAACAAAGTGGCTAAATCAACACCATCATGCTCTTTGATGCAGCATCACCACGAATAAATGGGCTGACGAACAGAGAGGACAAAGTCTTCAAAGCAGAGTGGCAAAATGGAAAAGCTGTGATGCAGTACACAGGCTACGGTTTTAATGGTTCCAAAAAGTGTCATAAAGAAAGTAGGAAGTTGCCTCTGAGGGTTAGAGCTTGAAAGTCTGTGGGCAAACAGGCTGAGCCATCTGTGTCGATGTAGCTTCATTCACATACTGTGAAAAAATATTTTAATTTTTTGCTGAAAATATATAGCTATATTTAGCACTGTTCCTCCTGTTATATACATACTTTCAACAAAGGAAGAGATACTGTTACTACAGGCATTCCTACTCTCAGTTTTCCCCCTTGTATTCATGTAAGTATAATGTTGCATTCTTCTTTTGGCTTTTAGGAAAATGAGGAATGTAAATGCCTGCCTATGCTTACTTATTTTAGTATATTGGTGGTCTAATTTAAACTCTAGAATTGACCTCTAGAATAGATGTGATCAGGAAGGGGAAGGCTTGATGTCCCTTTAAAGAAGATGGTGAGGAGCAAGTAATGAGTCTCATTTTTTTCTATTGCTGGAAAGAGATTTTTGAAAACAGTCTTCACAGAACAACAGCACATTCATTATTGAGTGACAACTGGATTTGAGCAGCAGCAAAACCTGTTTCTAAGACAAGACACAGAAATGGTTAAGAAGATGGAGCAAAGAACTTTTTGTTTCAGATAAAAGGATGCAAAAGGATGCAGAGATTCTGTGTGAACACATTTTGTCTCACCTTCTTTCTTGATGTATTAGGAATTTTTTTTATTTTGTTCTGGCTCAGCTTCAGTAGAAGCTGAGGAAATTCTCACCTAAAATAGACTATTGCAAGGTGGTTAGAGCCCTATACATGAGAGAACTTGGCTTAAATTGCTATAGGTGGAGTATAGGGCTGAATCTGAATATTCTGCTTTTGAGGTTATTGCATGAAGTAGTCAGAAGCGTTCCATTTCCTGCTGTGTTTTAAGTGAAGATCTGGATAATAGTGGTGTTCTTAAGAAATGTGATCTTTCTAGGGTGTATTGTATAGCTGTATATGGGTGAGTATGTATAAGTTCCGTCTGTCTGTCTGTCTCTTTCCTGCTCACCAGTGCAAATGCTTATGGCATAGAGAGGTGAACACCTTCACTCATGGACTCCAGTGCTGATCTGTCCATTGCTCTCATAACCAGGCTGCTCTGGATATGTTCAGAAATAGACCACTCTGATGCACAGAGAACTTCAAGATGGAAAAGGGACCAAGGCAGCTGCGTGGTTATGCAGCAACTGCAAAATTTTATATTGCTGATCAAGCCTTTCATGCATTTTCTAGTGAATCCTTACCCTAACAGGCCAGATTGCTCCCAGGCATCAGTTCTTGAGCTGTTCCACTTTATAGAATTCCATCTGTCTCACCTAGGTAGAGATTTTTCTGAATTAACATGCTACATCCTATTTTGGATTAGATATAGGCATTTTACTGAAAAAAAAGAAACCCAGTTTCACTTTATTAAACCGTCTCAGAAAGAAATTTAGAGCAAGAACATATATACATTTCAGAAGAACATACTGGATTACATTTTCAGATGATGTAAAATGATCCCACTTACCAACAATTATGAGCAATGACAGCATGTAACTTTAAAAGTGGAAGAGGATTTCATTTAACTAAAAATTACAGAGAATTCTAGTGACTTTATGTGGATTGATTTTTCAGCAATTGATTTAATATTTCTCTAAAAAGTCATACTTTTCCTCAGCTTGATCTTGGATTTACTCCAATATCAATGCTATTGATGTGCCAGCACTAAACATATTTAAGTAAAAGTGCATAGTCATTCTAAAAATGGAAAATTGTTGTGAGTATTAACATAATTGTCCTAAAAGAAAAAAAAATTTGGTTTTTATGGTGTTGTAAATTTGAGAAATTAAGATGCCCACATTTTAAAACTAGATTGTATAAACAAGGTCTACAGAACTTTATGGTGTATAGATCAAGACAATATTTGCAAAGAACTGCAGATTCCCAGACACAGAATAATGAGAAGGCTCCCTTTCTGCAGCTTGCAGTGGCCAGAACTTCATGCAGTCTTCATAGCTGACTGCCCCTTTGGGCAATGCTTTTTCAAAATGTACAGAAGTGCCATTTCAGCATAATTTGGAGTGATGGTGATGTTTGGAGCCTAATCAAATTAGGTTAGTTGGAAACAGTATCCCAATGGATATGATCTAGGCTTTGGCTCCTATTTAAAGGTGATACCCTGACTTTGAATCAGGTTTCAATTGCCTGTTGAATTCAGCACTTGTGTGATTGTTGCCTCGTAGCATTTGTTTTAAGTGGAGGTAGATATTTACAGAGAGATATTACTCTCTTGCTCTTCCTATCAGCTTTAGAAATTGCCCAGACAGCAAACTATGAAAAAACAGTACAGAATAATCCAGAGAGAGGTAGTCATGAAATATCTTTATAGTCACATATGTCAACCATGGCCACCTGCAAATACCTGAAATGTGTTCAAGTAGAAAACATGGTCAGCAAGGGGAAACAGCAGTAAGAAGGTTCTGATTCTGAATTGTTGTAATTTCTTCATGACTGCTTGATGTAAAATCTCATGGACCACAAGGAGCGTTACCTTGAAATTCCTAAATATGAAAAGAGGATGAGAAACAAAAAAAAAGATATATAGAAGACACCCATCTTTAAACACTGGTTTAACAAGCAGAATTCATACTCTTCAAGCAGGTGAGAGATCTCAAAGGAAGGATCTTTAGTGAGTGTGCTATCCAGGATGGCTTTAGGTAAAGGGAATTCCTTCATTTTTGGTGTGGGCAAAGACTAACATGTCAAATTTACCCTGTTTTCATTTACAACTACATATTCCTGTAATTAGTAGAAAGCTGGAAAAAATTACTCTGAAAAAACTTAGAAGACATCATCTGTAACATGATAATACAGCTAAGTGATAGAATTAAGATACTGATGAAGCAGAGGATATAATATATAAGTAAAAGTTAAACCTGAGTGTCTTAAAAAGTCTGATTGTTTTATGCCAAGGTAATACACAATACTATTTCCTCAAGAGCTTGCAGGCTAAAAGTCCAAGTATGGGGTACTGGTGGCCATGTGTGACTGTCCCCAGATCTCACTGAGACAAAAAACTCCCTAGGTGCTTTCGTGCTTGTCCATGAAGAGAGATACCACTGCGCGCAGTAATATCTCGGTGGATTTTCCAAGTGATCAGAAACAAAAATCCTACTAAGGCTTCCCACCTACAGTAGGAATTCCATTCCTTTTGTAGTCCATCTAAAGATGAGCTTTAATTCCTAATTTCTTGCACCAGAACTGAGGAGATTTCAACTTCATGTAAACAAAGAGTGCACAAAGACTGATACAGGCTGTGGCAAGTGTATAAAACTGGTATAAATCTGAGCACACAGTCTACAAACACCATACAGGTGCTTGAAATGTAGGTATTTGGAGCTACAAAATAAGACTTTGCCAAAACTCAATCTAGTTAAGCTTCTGTCTAGGGAAAAAAATTATTTAGATTCATTCTGGGATATATTAGGTAATGCCCCAAATCTCAAAGAGCAAAAAGAAAAATGAAGCGAAAGTCAAGAAAGTACTGATTAAGTAGCTAAAAGATTTTTATAGAGAGTGGAAGAATGTCAGTGCTTAACCAAAGCTTGAAGTCATCAATTAATGGCCGGTGATCAATGAGATTGAAATAATTTTCGTTAGTATTAAAAGCAACAAAATTAATCTGAAGGCAGGCATAGTTTCATCAAAAAAAGAGTGAGATAATAAACATTAACATTCAACAGCTGTTTTGAGCCTATATTCGGAAATTGCAAGCATCAGTGCCTTGTGACATTGGGGTAAAATTAAGAAAAAATTGCTGTTTTAAAGATGGATGTGAGCAAGCACCTGCTAAAATTAAGCATTTTCAACTCAGCAGACTTGGAAACTGGTAATCCAAGAGAAGGAGCTACATAAAGAGTTTTCTCATATCGGTTTATAATAAATCTTCATAATCAGGAAAAATCCCAAAGTGAAAGAATGTCAATTCAAATCAAATTGTCATCATTAAAAAGGTAGCCCAGTGACCCACAAAACAGCCTGTAAAAGTTTTCCAGTAAAATAATGGGATTGTTAATTTGAAACTATCATCAACAAAAACCTGGAGGCTGAAAATGTAATAATACCTATCAGTGTCTTTTCATGGAAATCATATCTTGTTAAGTGTTTTTGTTATGCTTTTTTTTTTGGTCAGAATTATAGCTCTGAGCAATGAAAGTAATTTTATTGCTGTAAAGTATTCTCTAAGGCATTTAACATATTATCCTGTAAAGTTACCACACTTGCACTATATAAAAGAAATGATCAAAATCTGGTGTTTAATATGGAGGTATTTTTCAAAAAAATCAGTTCATTGTTACTTGTGATCATAAAAGGTCTGATCTGGAGACCATTGTAATTAACCACCGACAGCCATCAAATACAACCGCTTCTATACAATCTCAGTTCAATATTGCAATTAAAAAAAAACCCACACAAAACTAATATGATTCTTTACTACATATTAAGGGATGTGTTAATTAACAGTCAGGAGGCATTCTTGACCATGTTTTTTGATGGTGAGACTAATATAAGAATTTCCAGTCTGGAGGAAGGAGAATGTGTAAACATTTGAGGAATTTTAAAACAGACGCAAAAAAATTGATCTACAGACCCAAAGAGATGTGCACTCCCTTCAAGGAACAGACATGGTCAGGGCCCTTGCATCTCTCTAGAGACTCCAGACCTTGTCACAAGGAAACCTCATGCAACAGATACAGTCCAAATGCTCAGTTTGGAATCTGTCAAAAAGACTGTGCTCTGGACTAATTGGCCTTTCCAGATGTCTGCCATGTGGGAATACATTGATCCTTACTCAGAAATTTCTGTTGACATAACTACAAAAGGCATAGGACAAAAGGGTGGGGGGGAAGAATTGCAAATACTGTCTCCTTAGTACAGGGTAGGGTATCACTACTGTCAGATGTCTCTCAGTGCAGATTTCCCTCAAATGATCTGCTAATATTTTTTCAGAAGCTACTGCTATTCCATGCCTCTGCTCAGCCCAGATTTGGCATGGCACAGTTCTGTGTTTACTGAAATTTCATTTTACATGAATTTTTGAGGCAACTGTCTAGAAACCCTGGAATGACAGTAAAACCAGTCCAGCAATTCAATGTGAGCAATGTCTTCTCTTTAGGGCTTACTCCTGTATTGTGATATCATTGAATCAACATTTGTAGAAGAACAACTACCAAGCAGAAAAGTTGATGCCATGGATAATTTCCAGAAGTGTTTTACAATTTTAAAATTATATCAACCAGGAATAGACAACAGCAGTTACAACACGTCAAAAAAATCGGATATGGCAGAAATCAAAGACTGGAAAGCAATTCGTGTGGATCTGGTCATAACCCCCTTTGAGCAATATGCATATGCTCTGTTAGGTTGGACAGGCTCCAGGGTAAGTAACCACAACAGCTTAAGTTGTCCTAGCATTGATAATCTATTTTTGTTGTTGCAGGACCATTCAGAGTTCATGGATTTTTAAAAAATGTTCCTGATCTCCAAACATCACATTTCATGTTGTCATCAACTCCTGGTCATAGGTTGGGAGCTGATGAATTCATCACTGACATTTATGGATGTCTCTCTAAGGGAGTTAACATCTATTTTCCTTGAAGCTTAGTGTTTAGGTTCATGGACTGGAGGGCTGAATTTTTAGTCAGTCGTGTTGTCTTTTTGCATCATACTTCTGTTAACAAGCAATTTAAATGGTTACCAAGTAGAGAGATGATTTGGAAAGTGTCATAGAGTTTTACAGGAAATTAAACATTTGAGGAATAGATGTTCTGAGTTGGAATTTAATTTGGTTTGTAGGAAATTGAAAGCAATTTGATATCCTTCTTTTCAGATTAGATAAAATGTTTTGTTTCAGTTGCATTTTAATTGACTGTTTTAAATTGTAAACACTGGAAAAATTTTAAATTTACACATTAGTTTTGAACTAGAATATTTTGATTTATGTTTTAATAAGTTAAGAAAACTTGAAATGACAGCTGTTTCCACAATAAGCACTGTAGTCAGTTGGCATAATATAGAATAGTACACTATTTTCAAAATAAAAAATTCTATCTAAATGCAAACTCAAACCTCAAATGATTAATCTCTCTCCACACAGAATTATTTTTTTAATCTGTTCTACATGCTTGCCTTCTGATGTTCATTTTCTTAGGGAGTGATTACATGGTACAGTGGAGAGCTCGTGAGCCTGCTCTGAATGATCTTTTTGATGTGCTGGAAGCAGTACAGGTGCATTGCCGCTCTGTTCTACCCAGGTTAATTGGAAGCAGGAGGGTTTAGACCAGGCAAAATGTTGAAATGGATGTGTTCTCCTGCTGGGCTTATGAGTTACTTCAGTCACGTTTCTTTCTGAGATAACAAAATGTGTTTATTTGGACCTTGGATTAAGTTCTGCAAACTTTGGGGTCCTTTCTTATCCTGGAAGTGTCTGGCTACTTAACAGCCCTTCTCTCAACTCTCAAGTTGGGTGTCTATACTAAAAATGCACAGTGTGAGGCCCTTTGGTTGAGTGGGCAATGACTTCATCTTTCTCTGCCTCACTGAACTTCTACTTCCTGTTGAGCTAATTCACCTACAGTCTGTGGGAGCCCATCATAGGCTTACTTTCTCATAGTGTGCCCAACTAACCAACTGAAGTGATGGACCCTATCAAAATATTGTCCTATCAGATGATTAGTTTTATCAGTCTGCAGTCCTTTAATAGAGGTAATTTTTACATGTTCATTTATTATATGGTTTGGTGTTAGGACTCTTATACAAAGGATAACGATTTTGGTTTGTCAGAATGACTGATAGTTGCTGTATCTTTCCCAGGAATTTGGACGTGATTTGCGGAGATATGCTAGTCACGAAAGGAAGATGATATTGGATAACCATGGGTTATATGACAGGAGAAAGGTACTGTTTATTCTCAGAAGTAAAGCTCTTGTGTTTTTATTTCTGAGCCGGCATTTCCTGTTTATTTTTGATGTTCAAGTATATAGAATATTTTAGCTTGATTATCTATTTTGTGGTAAAACAGTCCCACCTTCACAAGATTTAGTTGCACTGACAGAACCTGATTAAATCTGAACAAGTAAGTCTGGAAGCCTTTTTTTTGGCATTGATGAGGTAATTTCTGAAATTCAACAAGAAACGTACATTAGACAATGGTGATTGGAAAGAACTATGCAGCCTTCACAAAAAGGAGGATAATTAATCTATAAGTATTTTAAAAAATACTTTACTGTCCCATTTCAGAAGAAAACATTACTGTATCTCAGGAACAATTTCAACCAGTATTGTGCTAATATTTCGAAGGAAGAGGGGATATTGATGGCTACAGGCTGAGCTGGAAGTCTTGAGGAAGTTTTTGCGGGGTATAACACTAAGCAGAGATCAGGGATCATCCTGCCTTTAAAGCCCTGCATCCAGAAGTCTCTGTAGAATTCTGTTTAGTCAGGCTTGCCAGCCTGGGTAGTATTTGATATAATTTCTGGTATTAATGCTCTTGGCTGCAGTAATACTGGTCTGGCTTTTATCTGGTTTAATGTCTGTACTTGTATTAGTGTCTGTGTCAGGCCATTTAAATAATAAGCAAAAATCAATCTTGAAGATGTTTATTGATGTCATTATAGGGGAAGGCAAAAGTACCATGTCAAGATTTTACATTAATCTTTCCTATATATTCCTTATAGAATGGAGACTGCTTTTAGCATCCCTACTTACAAGCAGTATTGTCTCATTGCTTGTCTGTGGTGATCTAAACCATCACTCCATTTCAGTTGTCTCCATATGTGCCTTCAGGTTCAAATGCTATAGCATCCTCATTTCATGTAGAAATCTGGGGAAATTATCAGGCTAATTATCCATTTAGTCAGGTATCCTGTCTCCAACAATTGTCAATACTAGATGCTTAAGATGAAAACATAAAATCGCATAATTGATAAATATGCTATCAAATGTCCAAGGGGAAAGTTACTTCACAAACTCAAGAATGATGTCAGTTTATTTCTGCCTGTCTTATATATTTTGAAAATATTCAAAACATAAACTCTGTCTTGACATTATGGCAGATTTATTATCTGCAAGTTACGATGTGCTCTGTTAAGTAGCTTTTGGGGTGTAACAGATAACTGCACTAGGGAAAACCAGAGAATTTAAGAAATACCAGTGTTATTTTTTTGTGTGCAGCAAAATTTTCCTGCTTGGTGTATGAGTATGTATCATATCTACTGCTTTTACCTGGAGCCCTGAGGCATTCATAGATGCAAAATGGACACTATTCATTCATTAACAACATCAGTCAGTACTGGGGTTTTTTTATTGTCTTTAGGCTTTATGTCTGTGTACCATTCAAGTCCTTCTGGGAAAGAAAATGTGAATTTCCATATGTATTTCACTGGACTAGCCAAGATGTTTCACAGATAAATGATGAATTTATCTTCACAATGTCCTCTGGGAAGAAAGATGCTCTTGTCTTCCCAAATTTTCTTGTAAAGAGCTGAGGCACAGAAAGATTTAAGGCCCAAAAAATTCACTGGTTTCAAGGGCCCCCTGTTTGCAGTGCCTGACTTGAAATTTCTCTTGTGTAGTATCTGTCTTGTGACTTTGAAAAATACAAAGAAATATGTGTATCCATGTCATGTTTCCCAAAACCATCAGCTCTAGTTGTAACTCAGTCTCCACACCTTCTACATGTTTGAGTCTCAGCTTACACTTCTTCAATTCCTCAGTGAACTGCAACTTAAAAGATTTTCCTTATTCCTTATTATAACACAGGAGTTCTTGACAACGGCAAAGAAAAAAAAGCACAAACAAAACCCCAAAACTCAAACTAAATCAAACCCACAAAAAGCAGACCAAACCTTCAGGGCAAATTTCAAGTGTCTTGACCATAAAACCCTTAATCTAGGATTTCCATATATCAAATGAAGTACTTGAATAGCTCAGTTGTCCCTTTCTGGGAGGGACTCTGCTTTCGAATGTCCATCTGTCATCATGGACACACACACACAATATCTAATAATCTCATTTAATCCCATACGCAGCCAGTTTACTTCCACATTTTATTTTTTTTGCTGTAAACCACAGATGTACTACAGATTTCAAAACAAGAAGTCATGTTAATCTGTTGACACAGCAGAATGCTGTTCTTTTTTCTGCTGCAGTCTCAAAAATAGCTAAATCACATTATCTGAAATTTTCCACAAAGAAAGTCCACATATGCAGTATGCAAAATTTCAGACGAGGCAGGACTTGAAGTTATAATCTCCTTAACATGGGATCTTTTATCAAGTAGTGTCATTCTAACAAGAAACAGGGAGACAATTTCCCAGCAAGTATCCTAATATTTATAATCTAATGTGTTAAATTAAAATAATTTTAAAAATTATTTTAAACTTTCCAATTTTGTATTACGTTATTTCCAGAAATGACATTTTTAATAAAAAAGCCTTCCCCACTGCTATTCAGTGTGTAATGTAGTCAGAAATGTGCAGAATACAGCTATGATGTCTGTAACTGTGAAATTTGAGATGATGATGCATAGTGGAAGAGGAAAAGTTTGCAGTAAGTTGTGTGGCTGCCAAGGTTGATTCATTTTTAGCATCAACAGGTTAGTAAGCTTAAAGTAAGGGATAAAAATAATTAGCAATTTTACACAAGGGAACATATGCCCAAATCATGAAATGTTTAGGGTTGGTTTTGGGTTTTTTTCAATCATGAAGAGTAGAGAATCTACTTTATGGTAATTCTAGTGCTTTTCTTTAAAAATTAAAATACTAAAAAAGTGGATGTTTTATCTGTACCATCTTTTAAAATTTGACTGGAACATGAGCATATGTCTTTTGTAAGGACATTTCTCCTTGTGGCAGGAAATCTTCTTTTCTTGAAGCTAAAAACAATCAGGAAGCAGATATCCCTTGTGCAAGCTGCTCAAGATCCCTCAACACAATCTTAATTAAGGTTAATTAGACACCATAGGTAAAAACTGAATCACATCTTTTCCATATTTCTCTCCTTGTTTGCTGAAGAGAGGTTACCTTATGTCACCTACTCTGTCCAGGCAGACAAACTTTCGCACACAACTCTCTAACTGTCACTGGGCTATTGACTGGGATGTAATTTGGGAGCTGGGCCAAATCCTTTCTGCTTCATTCTTCTTTTATTAGTCTGTGTGTGTGTACAGCAAAAGGGATAGAAAGGTCAGGGAAAGTCAAACTAATTCTTGATCCTGATGAAGACCAAATCCTTTCCTTGAAAATACTTGCCTGTCATCGTTTAAAATTTCTCAAGCTGGTATAAGAAGATAATAAACCATGCTATAGCAAATACACTTTGTTGGGTTTTTTTCGGATGGAATATAACAGTGCTTGTAAGAGAATGTCATTCGTTATAAAAGAAAACAGTTTCCTGATTTGTTCTACATTCCAATATATAATTCAGTTTACTTTATGCTTCTATATTAATATTTATCAGCCCTTTGGCACTGAAGCTTGCACTGGCCCACTGCCTGAAATGTGATGTGTGTCAGAGAATCCCAGATTCCAGCGTTCAAAGGGACTTGCATCAGGAGAGAGTCCTGGTTACTTTAATGTATTTCCAAAGGGATTCTGACAGGAATAGGGAGCATTAACACAACAGTTAGGAATCAATTACATAGCTTTGCAGAGGGGAACAAAAGGAACAGATATTTTCTCCTGGGACTCATTACAAAGTTACACTGTGAAATTATTCCTCAGCCTTGATTTATTTTTTTCTTTCCAGTGTGACTCTTTTTATATAATTGTTGGTTTTGGAAGACAGTGTGCAATTATCCAACTAATGATTTTTTCAGTTCTGTAGTAAAAAGGGTATTTTGTAGATCTTCCTTTGGTAGGAAAATTATGGCAAAAAAATTGAAAATTTCCTACCAATTATCTGTCAGCCTCTCTTACATAAACAGATAGTGGATGTCCAAATCTGTGTCTCTTTAGAAGTGTGTACTAAAGCTGTGGAAATCAGCACTGGTATATACCAACCTGAAGTATGCAGTTTCTGTGATTTATGTCAACTGGGGGTCAAACCTTACTATGATCCCCACTCTTATAGAATGGAGTTTGTTGATCAGTCATGAGGAAGAAAGAGAAATTGTGTGTTCCCAATGTCTTATAATATTATTGCTGTTACAATTGGCATGGCACTCTTATGAACAGGCCAATAAAATTCTCATTGTAAAACTTTCCTGGTTCGTGAATGAACAATATGCTCTCTAAGTCAAGTAGAAGTGCTTTTGGAAAAAAGAATTTAATTTTTCTATGCAAACCATAATTCATCAGCTGAACTGTAGATTCTTCCTCAGAAAAATTAAGGTCCTTAACCTGGAAACTGTGGGATCACTGGTTGTTTTGACAATCCTCCGTATTGGCTTGAGGGTCAATTATCCCTTAACACACTATAAAGAATTTTTTTTACAACATGCATTGTGTCTAGACCTAATCAGGAGCTAATAAGAGTGCAAGTGCTGATCTCATTTTTTTATGTAATGTGTCCATCAGTACCCTGTCTGAACTGCAGTTTTCAGTGTGTGTGCATATATACAGTTGAAGGAGCAGGCTGGAAACAATGTGATGTTTTATCCATCAGATTCTTCCGGGTTGTGCGCTGTCCAGGCTCTGAACCTGGAAATGTCTCAAGGGCACAGCAAAATCACTCTGATACTTCTGTGTAAATTTTGCACATACTGCTGGTGTTTTGGATCCACAGAGAAAACAATCAAGAACAGCTGCTAATATGTGTGGAAGGCATGTTATCATGTGCAGCCTGGAAGTAATGTCTGGAGGCCACCTACCCCACTCACACCTTTTTGTACTCTGCAGTAGGTCCCCCCTTGCCTGGTACACTTGTCTTTTCTTGAACCACTTTGTAACTGGGTGCTG